ATTGTTGAATCTTTCAAAAGCAGGTTACAGAATATCTTGAGAAATATATCAACTAGCCCTAGCCGGTTTGGCTCAGTGGACAGAGCGTCGGCCTGAGGACCAAAGGGTCCCGGGTTCAATTCCGGTCAATGGCACATACCTCAGTTGCAGGCTCCTCCCTGTCCCGGGCCCTGCTCGGAGCTCATGCAGGAGGCAACCAATCGATGTGTTTCTCTCACATCGATGTTTCTCTCTGTCTTTCCCTCTCTCTCCCACCCTCTGTAAAAATCAATGCAAAAATATCCTTGGACAAGGATTAACTATATACAGGACAAAAGTATCAACTATAGACAGGACAAAAGTACTAGTAGATTTACAGTTGTTCGTATGAAAAATAATTCAATAATTAATAGATGATAATAATACAAGAATAAACTCTGTGTTTTGTGTACTCACAACTGTAAACCTACTTTTGCCCCACCCTGTATAATCATAGATGTGTAAAATGCACACACACACACACACACACACACAGATTCACAAATGAATAGAGAAATGAAGAAATGACCACATTTTCACCAAAATATTACCAGGAGCATTAGGAGTGATTTCTTTCTTCTTTACATTTCTCTGTGATCTGAATCTTCTACATGAGAATAATTCTCATTAGAATCAAAAAAAGCCATTTACATTTGGGAAAGAAGAAGAGAAAGCGATAGCCCTGCCCCCTCAATGAAAGAGAAGAGAGAAGGTCTTGCATACATCAGATGGGCTTCTACCCCCGGCCCCCACCCTGGTCCCTACCTGGGTGAGGGCCGACTCCAGCATGTTACAGAAGATGCTGAACTGTTTGAAGTTCCCTGTCTTGTGAGTCAAGTCTTCGATGACTGGGTGGGGAGAAAAGTCCTTCCTGAGCTCTGACACTTGCCCATCCCAGGGCGATGCATCCAGGCTTCCTGACTTTCCCTGACTCCACCCACCCACCTTAGAGCTTCTGGTCAGGCCCAAGGGGCAGGTGGGCAGGACCCCAATGGCCTCATCTTCTAGAAGCTGATCCCGGGGAAGAACAGGCCAGCCCACCCCTGGCAGGCACACTCACAGTTGGCATCGAACTCGCCCCGCCACTGGTCAGCCGTCATGCGGTCCTCCACCTCCAGCTCCAGCACCTGTCCCGACACCACCACCCGCACGGCGTGCTCCACACCCCGGAAGACGTAGTCCACCTGCAGGCCGGCCGGCTGGTCCATGGCCAGTGTCGCTGGAGAAGGGAAGGAGACAGAGACCCAGAGGGCCTGAGTGCCCAGGCTCAGGAGCTGGACGGTCAGCACTCACTTCCTGGTTCTACCATTTACCAGCTGTGGCACCTTAGGAAGGAGACTTTGCCTCCATTTCCTCATCTGGAAAATGGGTATAAAACGGCACCAACCTCATAGAGTTGACGTGAGGATTAAATTGGCCAATACACATAAAAGCACACATTACAATGCCCAAAACATGCTGGCTGATAGAATATATGATGTCCAACAAGAGAATCATGATTAATACTATTGATTATTAATTCTTATGCTCATTATATATTTTTATTATTATTCACTCATTCATTCAGCAAACATTTGCAGAGAAAACTCCAGCTGGAAAGGGGACGGAGAGTATTGAGGCCGGGCGGGGCAGAGATTTCAAACAGGGGTGAGGGCAGGCTCCGTGAGAAGCCGACATTTGAGCAGGGAACTGAAGGAGGGCAGGAGCGGCCATGTGACCCCCCAGGGAAAGAGGCCCCGTGGCGAGAACAGCCCGTGCTACATGTTATCAGTGAAACACTAAGTCGTGCACAGTGAGTTAAAACTTGATTTTGTTAGTCAGTCTGTTGTAAGCATAAGCACCTTCCCTTAGCCGCAGAGCTACTCCTCGCGGTTGGAGCTGGAAGAGAGAGCCAGGCCTCCGCCTCAGCCTGGGCTCTAGGGCTGGTTCACAAAGGCGGCCCGGGCTGCCTGGGCTCACTTCCAGGTGAGCTGTGTGCAGGGACATGAGCAAGTGACTTAACCTCGCTTGGAGCCGGATTCCTTATCTTTTTTTTTTTTTCTGATTTTTTTTTCTGATTTTTTTTTTTTTTTTTTTTTTACAGAGAGGAAGGGAGAGAGATAGAGAGTTAGAAACATCGATGAGAGAGAAACATCGATCAGCTGCCTCCTGCACACCCGCCACTGGGGATGTGCCAGCAACCAAGGTACATGCCCTTGACCGGAATTGAACCTGGGACCCTTCAGTCCGCAGGCTGACGCTCTATCCACTGAGCCAAACCGGTTACGGCGGATTCCTTATCTTTAAAGCAGGTGCCACCCTGGGTGCTGGGATCTCGGAATCAGATGATGGCCCTACTGTCAGGGAGGGTGGCAACAGTCAGAGGGAAAGAAAGGTCAGGTAATAAGGAAAGGGAATGCTGGGGTGGGGTTGCTCCTTCGGCTCCGGTGGCCAGGGAAGGCCCTCTGAGCAGGGCCTGGAGGGAGGGACGGGGGGACAGGTGAATAGCTGGGGAAGAGTGTCCAGGCCAGGGGAACAGCCAAGTAAAGGCCCCAAGGTGAGTAGTTCCTGGTTTGTTCTAAGAACAGCAAGGAGGGCAACCTGAGGGAGGAAGGGAGAGGCTAAGTGATGAGGGCAGGGGTGAACGCGCCAGATGACGGTCACGCAGGACAACTAGGCGGGAAAACAGTGCCCATCTCCTTAGACTGG